GTTGCAAACAACCAAGTCTCGTCGTCCCTTCTAGCACGTGGTACATACTTCAATGCTCAGTCACGGCTTGTTACATCGGACAGTTTGATTGACAGCTCAATCGGACGCTTCGTTGGTGGTGACCGACGTCGAGTGTCACGTTGATAAATGATCGGTTGAGTGTCGCCGGGATTAACATAGGTTCTGTAGTCAGTATATTGACATCCATATAGTTCCGCTAGGTGAGACGACTAGTTTTTTTTTTGTAGCGAAAAATTCTTTAGAATCATTTTTTATCTTACAAAGGGACATTTACCGCTTAGTGTATGTCAGTCCCATCATACCCTAACATATATTACTAACTCATATACCGTTAATTATTATACTACTTGGGCCATATATTCGTACAGAACTTTCGCAACGACGCCATTTGATTGGAATAAAATATTATGATATGTACCTATGTAACTTCTGTTTAAATGCAAGACCCTTATTAAATTACTTCTAACAGACTCAAATCGAACACATTACATCAATAAATGGTGTAGGTCTTCTATAACTCCACAGTCTTCATGAATGTCTAACAACAATGTGACAAAAATATTAACAATATTACTTTCATGCTTTCCCTAACCTATAGAGAGGGTTATACGAGTATATAACTTCCCAGAGAAAGGAGATTATTAACAATATTCTATGGAGTAATTTTGCCGCGTTAAAAGACCCAAGCTCCTATTGTTGCCAGCGTTTAGTAATTTACAAGTTTCCTGAAATAATATATATAAGATAAAATACTAGAGAGAATTATTTATATGAAATTAACACCAATAATAATCACTACACTAAAAAAAGTTCAAAATTCGACAATTTGTGTGGAAACATTGCTAAGTGCAACGCAAATAAATCATAGTTCATAGAGCCATGAAGGTGATCAGATCCGCCTGAGTTCCCGCTATTACGTGGAATTTGATAAAACATTAATCCTCGCAAAAGAGACAAAAAGCGACAGTAGCATTATGGTACGGTTTAAACTGTAAACTCAGAAAGTCGTGGGTTCGAAGCCGCTATTCGACTACTGAGGTCAACCACTCTTCACACAAGCACTCTTCTACACTTTAACACAAGCATTTTTAAGCTCACTTAGAGTGGGTGACAGGAGTATTAATATTTTTGCTAACATGTTTTTCTAAAAAAAGTAAAAAAAGAACACCAATTCGTAACAAGGATGATTCATGAAGCTATTGAAAAAAATTAAGCAAAAAGAAATTCTAATTTCAATAGAAGGTGGCTTGGTTACCATTTGCTCAAACAACTCAGACCCCTTAAAACATGGGTGCTAAACCGTTTTTTATAGCATTCGGTGACAAACGAGCACACAGTCCACTTGATTGTAAGTGAATGCTGTGGCCCATAGAGATAAATATTTATCTTCAAATAAGAATCAAAATGCAGATGCGTTGTCATCCCTGAAGACTGAGATGGAATACCTCGATTCCAGTAAAAAGGGTCTCCGTTTCTCTTCACTCACCATACGAAACATAGCAGCATTACGCTGCTATTTTGTGAGACCGTGGTCCCTCACCGTTTGAGCCGACCCATTTGTGTTACAACTATAATATAGATGCAGCGTCGCTTTGCCACCTACAAAAACGTGTAGTTAAATACTCTTTGCGGAGTGATTAAATACTCTATATCGGCATATAATAGCAAAGTATTCGATATATCAGAATTGTAACGCGATAATATCTGTAAGAAACTAGTTTCAATCGATGTGTAATGTTCGCGTTAATATGAGAAATCATTATCATTTAATTTAATACGTTGAAGCATTTTTTAAAATAAAATGGGTAATTTCATAAATAATGATTCTTTTGTGAACTTGTATAGCTGAGTTCCTTTCGAAGGATATAAATTTACAACACGCACTTGGTCTTTTTGTACAAACCTCAGCGCAAAAAGTAAAGAAAGGCTGAATCATTTTATATAATTCAAGGTTGATACGAAGAAAAGCTCTAACTACCCGATGAGACACCAAAATTTGCATAGTATTATGATAATCCAGGAAAAAGTAGAAGCGCCCGAGTTAATTCTGAATCATCGCCACACTAAATCATCCTAAATTTGGGCTCACAGCACCGAGTGTCCGACGAGATTAAGTAATGCGACCTTATTATTTTTATGCTCCAGTTAAGTGTTTCAAGTAACAGGAAAGAGATTTTTGTAAGGAAAATCGTTTACTTAGTTTTGCCGAAAAAATAAAAAATATTGCTAACAGTAACATTTATGATTTAAGTCTTTTTTTAAATGTAATTAAGTTGACAAACTAGGTAACAAACTCAACAAATCCACTGCCAAGCGTGGCAACTATGGCTAAATATGCTTGTGAAGCAATCTACGGGGGTGGATAGTTTCCTTTTGTTGCCTCTTACGACACCTAGGGGACGATGTGGGTAACAAACCGTCTTATGCCGCTACTACACGGCTAAACTACACTACACACTAAAGAGAAAGTAAAACGAACGTATTACGTGGTAGAGCGACGCTGCGGCTACATTACGGCTGTGGACGAACGGAACGGCTCGACCGGGATAGGACTACGCTCTCAGAATAACATCGTAAAATAACAGCTTTATGTTGCTGTATCTTATGGTCAATGTAGAGATCCAAAGAGCCTATTTACTGGAAAGGTGAAATCACCTTATTCCTCAGGGGTGACAACGCTTATATTCATTGTGATTGATAAATGTAGATGTCTATAGGCCACAGCATCCACCTACCATCAGGTGGACCATGTGCTCGTTTGTCACCCTTATTCTATAAAAAAAAGTCCGAATTCGGAACAATTATTTGTACTTGTTCTCTGCGGTATTCAGTGCCCCGCCAAATGCTTAGCTGCTACGGTACCAAACCGTGTTAGCATAAGATACAAATAAACGTAATGAGATATCTGTCAGGGGCTAATTGTTCATTGCAATTTTATTACGACGTGCTCGAAAGTTTTGAAAAACGTTGTAAGGAAACCTGTGTGTCTTAGAAATTTAAGATCTTGATGATTCATAGAGTCCACTCACATGAATTAATTAGGTCCAGCACATACGTCTCGTACTCCCTACATCAAAATCCTCTCATAAATGGGGGAGGGGTTGGAGGGCTTGTGTCTAGCAGTGGAGCGTATAAATTTATTTTCATCATTACAGCCTTTCAAAAGTTCACTGCTGAGCATAAGGACTGCCAATCTCCTTCACCGATTGGCAGTCCTGGCAGGGTTGGCAAAGTTGCCAAACAGGAAGACGCTGCTGCCTATCTTTTATTTCAGTTTCCATACGTGGTTATTTGTGTACCGTGTAGTTGCTACCTTATAGTGGCAGTGTAAGAATATCGACTATGCCATATCATCCCATGGGTTCTGTAAGAGGCGACAGAGGCAAACACATCAGTAGATGGGCAGCAGCATTTTTCTAGTACCATTTTTTAAAGGATAAGGTTGACAAACGAGTACTCAGTCTACTTGATGGTAAGTGGCTGCTGTGGCCCACAGACATCTACATTTAACCTCGATTAAGGATCAAAATATAGATGCATTGTCAGCCCTGAGGACTAAGATGGAATGCCTTGATTCCAGTAAAACGGATCTCCGGTTCTCTACACTCACCATATGAAACACAGCAGCATTAAGCTGCTATTTAACGCTGGTATTCTGTGAGAGTGTGGCTCTTCCCCGGTCGAGCCGACCCATGCGTGCTGCAACTATAATATATCTGCAGCATGGCTCTACCACATATGAAGTATATTAACAACTAAAAGTAAAAAAACTGTGGTTTTTGCCGCTTGCCAAGCGTGGCAGCTATGGAAAATATTCCCCATATAAGTCAAACTATGAGGGAAGCCTATTTACAATGTTTGTGTTTTATTTACTTAACTTTAATCAAAATTAAGTTACAAGAATTTAACTCCGCTAGTAATCAAGTGGCTTTTGCAAAATATCTAAATAAGGTCACGTAAATACCAAAGCAAATAAGCTGAGAAAATATAAAGTTATAAAGAGCTTTTCTGGGCAGCCCTTATCGCGCAAGGAAGACGGTGCTCGGGTAATTATCCCCATTAATTACAGTGGTATCAAGCGGCCCCTAATGAAAATTTATTTCTTCGCGAAATTAAACCGAAAAACTGGAGCATCGTTGAGTTGTCACTCGGCACCATTCGTTGAAACCTAGCGCTTGAGTTCTCAGTTATATTGATAAATTGGGAAAAGTTTAACATTCATCTTTATTAACGTAATGGATTGAAGGAGCTAGTTCATTCGTGTAATAGACTAGAAATTTGTTTTTTTTTAATCTAATAAGGGTGCCAATGAGCACACAGTCAACCGGATGGTAAGTGGAAGTGGCCCATAGAATTCTACATTTATCCTCGATTAAGAATCAAAACGCAGATGCGTTGTCACCCCTGAGGACTAAGATGCAATGCCTCGTTTTCAGTAAAAAAGGGTCTCTGGATCTCTACATTCACTATACGAAACACAGCAGTATTAAATTGCTATTTTACGCTGGTATTCTGTGAGAGCGTGGTCCTTCCCCGTTCAAGCCGACCCATTCATGCTACAACCATAATATAGCTGTCGCGTGGCTCTACCACGTACAAAATCATTTAATCATATTTGTGAAATCAACAAATTCTAGCTTTGAAAGTAAGCAACATTTAAGATATATATTTCGAATAATTTATTTTGATATTTCCGCTCCGATAATTACATCTGAACTTAGTTGGTGAACTCGTTAATGTTACTATCATTCATACCAATATCATCATGATAATAACAGCACTTCAAAAGCCCACTGCCGAATATATTCCCCCAAGGAAGTCCACAAAGCACGGTCCTGAGTCACCAGCATTCATCGAATTCTCGCATGTTTTACCAGGTCGTGAATGAGTCCACCGTACACTTGGCTTACCGGTACTAGGCTGTCACTCGAGAAATTAATATCAAACATGTTACAAATATCGTTTTATTAAATTCTTACCTTTGACGTCCAGTTCTATCCGTTTCACAATCGGCTCGTCTAGTGCTGCGGAGGATACGACACACTTCAGCTCGCCACGGAGCTCAGCACGGGTTACAATCATGGGTAGAATATGTTGCACTGTTGACTTGTTAGGAGTTTCAGTTTGAGCTGCAACAAAAAGGAAAAAAAAATTAGTTTTACTCTCATTTTAATTGACATTGGAAATCGTCCAATGTTTCAAATAAACCTTAAGAACGATAAAGGGGATTTGCCGTACCTCGAACCCAAGTAGTTTTTATAGAATAATAAACGAGCACACAATTCACCTGATGGTAAGTGCATGCTGCAGCCAGAATCAAAATGCAAATGCCTTTCCCCCCCTGCTGATCGAGATGGAATTCCTCGTTTCTAGTAAAAAAGGTCTGTTCTCTTTACTCATCTTACGAAACAGCAGCATTAATATTTTACGCTGGTATTTATAAGATGTAGTTGACCTGGCCATACGTGCTACAACCATAATTTAGCTGCAGCGTAGTCCACCACGTAAAGTTATTGGAAGACGCCGCTATAAATCTCCTGTTTTATTTATTTCTTTTGTCACTAACAATATTGGCGGTATAATGTAAGGAGTTGAATTCTATTTAAATAAAAAATAGGCAAATACACGGCTAAGGTATCAAATTTAACTAGTTATATTTATAACGAAAGTGTTTTTGAATAAACCATGAAAATAACTCAAGATCGTTAACAATGTTCTAAAGGTTACAAACAAGCAAGATTGCGTGACTGAGTTGATTGCCTGCAGTCTGCGGGCCATCGATTGCAATTATCAATTCATTATTGTGTAGACTTGGAACAGACTGAAAAACTAAAGTCGCGTGGTCTTTTCTACGAGCGCTGGAAAAACTTTATCATTGCTAATTAAATTGTCGTCTCCCGACGTCTTACGAGTGAATGATTGGAAAATACAAAGACTTTTAAAACGAATCCGCTGTGAGGGCGCTTCTGAAGTATTTTGTTATTGAAAATTGATTATAAGAAAACACGTCAGTTGTTAATTTTTTAAAACAATGGAGAATTTTTTAAATGTTTGCGTGTCGTGTGTTTACATGATAGGTACAATTAAATATACTACCGTGAAACCTTACAACTTTGCGCTTGGGGGACATCTTTACCTAAACACAAAAATTAACTAAAACTACCGATAGACATTTTATTTTAACAAATGTCAACTTTGTATGGTGTCCAGGGAAAACTAGAGTATTTGTTTGACAGCACTGAATACTACAATCGTAGCTAACTATATTCAGGCATCCGTCAGCAACCGTCAGAGGCAGTGTCGAAGGTGGTGCAAAAACATTGTTGCAGTTTTGCATCCCGCATTGCCAAGAAAAGCTGCGCAAGGAAGATTCATTACTATTTACGTGTAGAGCATTAGTTGTTGCTGCTTTTAATCAAGGTCTCTTTCTTACACTTGTATTAGTTAGCGAGAAAATTGTGTGGGTAATGTTGTAAGCAATTTTATAAACTGAGGCTCACTCAAAAATGTTATTAGGGTTGACACTATTGGAAAGAAAATCAAGGGAACATGTACCTAGGTATAATAAATATACATTATATATATGTAATATAATGTATATATATAGGTATACTTAATAAAATAAATAAATGTATATAGGTATATATAAAAAACTGTATAACAATAACTACTGTTAACTGCAAACTAAACTACTGTTCTGATAACTATATAGGTAACTAGATATGTTTTATATATTATTTTAAATATAATAAATAGGTATATATTTGTGGGAAATTTTTGTCAGAAACCGCTAGTTTCCCAAAAGAGAGAGCTTCAATATTCTCAGTTTCAAGCTAAAGTTTTTAAATAAGATTTATGCGGCAATTCGTTTGCAAAAAAAAAAATTTAATTAATGTTTGAAGCGTTAAGCTGCTATTTTACGCCGGTATTCTGTCGAGCCGACCCATTCGTGCTACAACTTTACTGCTAATTAATATAGCTGCAGCATGGCTTTCCTAAGTATACCAGGTAACACCCTCTGATCTATTTCTGTGAAAATCTCATGCCGTGCCAATCTCACAATACATCTTCCGTGGGTATCGGAAGATTTATTATGAGATTGACAGCAGTGTCTTTCTTATAGCGAGTATATAATCTTAATATATAAATTACGTGTCACGTTGTTTGTCCGCGATGGACTCCTAAACTACTTAATCGATTTTAATCAAATTTGCACACCGTATGTAGTTTGGTCCAACTTGAGAGATAGGATAGTTTTTTTGCCCATGAGTGACCCACTTTTTTTTTTTGCGAATTGGTTTTTAATAGGACATGCCAAAGGGTTGTTCAAAAGGGCAGAACAACGTTTGCCTGGCAATATTTGTATCATGTGTGTTTTTAAACATTGAAATAATACTAGTTTTTACGGAATTTATCGCGTATATTTAACTTTTTTAACTTTTTAAATACCCGACGTTTCGAACGCTTTACAGCACTCATGGTCACGTGCAGGACTGAGATGTTCAACGTCCATATGTCATAGTTAACCGCGGTTACCATAGAATAAAATTTTAACTTTTGTTCCGATCTATGCAGTATGAACTTATGGTATCTTGAAGTCTTGCAGTTGTATGCTTGGGTTGGGATTTAATTTTATTTATTATAGGATCCCAAGCAGATGGTAGCACCCAGCCATCTTCTCTATTGAAATTAGGATGTTTTTTGATTTCAATAGTCTCGCGAATCATCCTTGGAAGGAATCGGTGTTCCTTTGCGAGGATCTGCGGTCTATCAAATCTGATGTAGTGACGGGGGCGATCCTGTACGTGTTCACAGACTGCAGACTTCCCGGAGCGTCGATTCTTCACATCAGTTATATGTTCTTTGACGCGGGTTTTTATTGATCTTTTAGTTTGTCCTATGTAGGAGAGACCACATTCACAATCAAGCTTGTACACTCCTGCATCTTGCAGAGGGACATTACACTTGACCGATGGTAAAAACTGACCAATCTTCTTCAGCGGCTTGAAGTATGTTTTGATGGAAGCACGCTTCAAGATGTAGCCAATCTTGTCAGTGACTCCTCTAATCTATGATCTGTGCTTGTCAATGGTTGCTATGATCTGTGTTTTGCAGCAACTGATCATAGATTAATCGCGCTCTATAATCTGTCAAAACAAACACTGGATGATGCAACAATTAGGGTTTTATCCAAAGGCCTCAACTTTGCAATTACACCCCGAAAATTACCGTACGAAGAAATTATCTGTAGTGTCGAGGACTGTTTATTTAAAAACAATATGCGGAAAGAAGATTTGGAGGCAATACGTCAAGACATTTCGTCTATGTTACGTCGATGTTCAGTAAACCGAATCTTCCCAAAGACGAATTTATAGCGTTAAAGAACCTACGCAATAAACACGAACTTACGATTCTCCGCGCAGATAAGGGAAACGCCACGGTAGTCATGGATACGTCAGATTATAATTCTAAAATACAAGAACTTTTGTCGGATGTAAGTACTTATAAAAAAGGTTAAAAACGACCCAACAAATAGCACACTAAAAACAACTAGTGACCTCATAAAGAAACACTCCGAAAAATTAAATCTGGACGTAAAATGGATAATACCTACGTGCGCCAAATCACCAAAATTGTATGGGTTACCAAAAATACACAAGCCCAATGCTCCATTACGTCCCATAGTGAGCCAAATCGATTCACAAACTTACAGATTGGCTCAACACTTAGCGAAAATACTCTCACCACTCAGGGGACATACAAGAGCACACATAAAGGATTCCTACCATTTTGTCAGCGAGATTAAAGACCTACATCTGGCAGACAATGAAACTATGGTCAGTTTTGATGTGCAGTCATTGTTTACATGCTTACCTGTTGAAGACTGCATCTCAATTGTAACTAGAAGGCTGGAAGAAAACAACATGCCCGTAGAATATGCAGTATTACTCAGACACTGCCTTACATCTGGCTACCTATTGTGGAAGGAGGAGTTCTACAAGCAAGTAGATGGTGTGTCGATGGGCTCACCTGTATCTCTCATTGTCGCTGATATATTCATGGAAGACTTTGAGGAGAAAGCCCTCTTTACTGCACCTGTTACACCAAGGATCTACAAGCGGTACGTAGACGATACTTTCACAATTTTACCATCAGACAAAGTAACTGCATTTTTAGAATATCTTAATTCCATAAACTCTAAAATTCAATTTACTATGGAGTTAGAGGCAAATAATTCCTTACCTTTCCTAGATGTGTTAGTCATCCGAAATCCTAATAACACCATTGGTCACACTGTGTATAGGAAAAAGACCCATACAAACCGATATTTAAACGGTGAATCTCACCACCATCCTTCACAGTTAGCTACCGTGGGTAAATCTTTGTTTCAGAGAGCACGAGGGATCTGTGACAGTAAACACCTGGCTGCAGAGCTCCACCATGTCAAGCAAGTTTTGCATGACAACAAGCTTCGAGTCCCGCGCCTACGTCACAGTGAACGAGTGAAGCCGGCCACAGTCGAGCGTGTACCTGCTGTACTGCCATATGTTAGAGGAGTCACTGACAAGATCGGCTACATCTTGAAGCGCGCTTCCATCAAAACATACTTCAAGGCGCTGAAGAAGATTGGTCAGTTTTTACCATCGGTCAAGTGTAATGTCCCTCTGCAAGATGCAGGAGTGTACAAGCTTGATTGTGAATGTGGTCTCTCCTACATAGGACAAACTAAAAGATCAATAAAAACCCGCGTTAAAGAACATATAGCTGATGTGAAGAATCGACGCTCCGGGAAGTCTGCAGTCTGTGAACACGTACAGGATCGCCCCCGTCACTACATCAGATTTGATAGACCGCAGATCCTCGCTAAAGAACACCGATTCCTTCCAAGGATGATTCGCGAGGCTATTGAAATCAAAAAACATCCTAATTTCAATAGAGAAGATGGCTGGGTGCTACCATCTGCTTGGGATCCTATAATAAATAAAATTAAATCCCAACCCAAGCATACAACTGCAAGACTTCAAGATACCATAAGTTCATACTGCATAGATCGGAACAAAAGTTAAAATTTTAATCTATGGTAACCGCGGTTAACTATGACATATGGACGTTGAACATCTCAGTCCTG